TAAAATTCAACGAACCTCCAAACTTGTCGATTAATAATAATATATAAATAAATATTACCAATTATAGTTTTTATTTTTCCTTCAATTTTTTTATGATAATTTTAAATTTAATAACATTTTTGTTATCGATATGTCAGACGCCTACTTGAAATTTGGCATAACATTAAATATGCCAAATTTAACATATGAAAAAGTTGTACGCCAAATGAGTTCTTCCTATTATTTTAATATATGAGTTCCATATATCATTAAAATTTGCATGAGGATATGCCAAATAAATAAATAATTTAATAAATTTGACATATCATGTGGAATTCTTATATATATTCTGTATGTTAATTTGGCACGTCATACCTCAAATGAATTTGACATGTGAAATTTGAAGATTTGGGTGGAAATGCTCTCGTATTTGTCTATGCTGCTTTTTTTAAAAAACAAAATCTATCTTAAATTTGTTCAAAAATTGTTTTCTTAATATATATATATATATATGCTAGGGCACCCCGAACCCTCCCCTATTCCGATGATGGACAAAATGGGGCGGGTTTAAAAAAAACAAAAACTTTTTATTTGTGGGACGAGTATGGTATAGTGTGCTTGTCTCGACTCAGCCGTTAATATCCCTAATTATGGAATCCACCTCGTCCGACATATATCTTTTTCTCACGACCACATATATCTTTCTAGTTGACGAAGATGCATCAATGGATGATTTGAGTTTCATTATAAGATCATTCTGACATATATCTTTTTCTTATGACCACATATATATTTCTAGTTGACGACGATGCATCAATGGATGATCTGCCTTTCCTTATAGGATCATCTTGTCCAATATACAAAAATGGTGGTAGACTACATACATCTTTTTCTCACAATACATGTAGTTATCTATCCCTAATCTTTCTACCTGACGACGATGCATCAATGGATGATCTGAGTTTCATTATAGGATCATGTTGTCCAATAGACAAAATGGTGGTAGACTACATACATCTTTTTCTTACAACTACATGTAGTTATCTGAATGCTTTTTGCGGTGTGATTTAATATATATATATAAATGCTTCAAGTTAGATGAATGCTTTTTGCGGTGTGATTATATATATATTAATTGTAGCATTTGGAATGAGTGTATATAAATATATAAAGTAATAATTTTGATCTAGTACATGTATTTGGTGTTTTATAAACATGAAAGGTACAAGTTTCTGTCTTTAGTTAATTTTAGTACTTTGTGAAATAAAGTGGTTGTGGTGGCGGGAGATTTCTCTTAATTGACCCACTTGTATCACATTTTAAAGTTGAAAGAGATATGTATACACAAATTGCATGTGTTTTTTTTTTTTTTTTGGTAAGCATCCATACACAAATGCATGTTATTAACTTTTTGGCATACACAATGAAAAGGCAAATGGATATGTATATGATATATATTATATACACACATATTGTAAATGAAAAATTTAGACAGACTATGGAAGAGTAGCGTAGTAGAGTAGTGTTAAATATGTTTGATAACATCTGTTGCAATTGAATTGTATTTTGAATTCAAAATTCGTTTTGAATGCGCGGGAGAACTCTAAAATATTTGGTCCTTTCATTTGGATTTCGAGTTCAGGTAGCATATTATTCTTCGTTGTGTTTTGCACAGTACCACATTTGCTTCAGAAATAAATGTCTAAATTCAGAAAGGAAAAAAAGTGGTTTTGACTTGTATTTGAAATACCATATGCTTTTACACTCTTCCTAACAATTATAATTATTATTATTATTTTCTTTGAAACATTGTGGGACAAATTTAAATTACTCAGGGAATATTTTGTCCTTGTTTGTTTTTGTATTTTTGTTTTAATCCGAGACAAAATAAGCGTTTTGTTGTATAGTGTTTTGAATAGTAATCGAAAGTATACTTGGTAATGTCTATTTGTTGCAAAATTTTGAAAGCAAAAATATAAAAGCACATGTTTGGTAAAATAATGTTGCAATTTTTAAAAGTATAATGACTAGTTTAAAAAGGTCATTTAAGAGAGTTTCAAATATATATATTGTTACAGTGCAAAAATATATAAAAATATCAAATTAGTGTTTCAACTTTTGATCACTATTCAGGAAACGTTTCGGCACTGTATGACACAAAATATATTTTATCAAACGCGTTAAACATGCTCTTAATATGTTTCTATTTTAGAATTAACCATAGCACAGCCTTTTGCTTCATATGAAATTAAAAAAAAAAAAAAACAAAACAAAACAAAAAAGATTGCCAAGGGCCTGTTTGGAACATGGTTTTTTTTTTACGTTTTATTTTAACTCAAAATAAAACAAGTATTTTGTTTTAAAGTGTTTTGAATAGTAATTGAAACATGTTTGGTAACATCTATTTGTTGCAAGATTTTTTGAACCAAAAATATAAAACATATTGGTAAAAAAAGTATTGCAAGTTTGAAAAATATAATGGTTAGTTTAAAAATGTCATTTAAGAGTTTATCAAAAAAAAAAATTATTGTTAATCGCTACAGCACATGCTACAGTGCGAAAACATATAAAAATATCAAATTGGTGTTTCAGTTTTTGGCCACTATTCAAGAAACGTTTCGGCACTGTACAAAACAAAATAGTTTTTACCAAACGGGTTTCATTACTATAGTACCCGACAAAAACAAAACGCGTACCAAACAGACCCCAAATAGACAACAAAACATTGTACCACTTAGGCCCTGTTTGACATGTTTGTTTTGGGCTGCTACAGTGTCTATTTTGGCAACAAAAAGCATGTTTAATGTGGCTTTATTTTACATAGTGCTAAAACACTTCGTGAACAGTGACTCAAAACCAAAACACAAAAAAAATATTTTTTCTTATTTTGGCAACTATTTATGGTCCAAAATCATAACAGTAGCGCAACGCGGGTCAGACATTTCCACAGCAAAATATCGTTCCTAAACGCGCTTCCAATTTTTTTTCCAAAACACTCCTACAGCAAAAACATTATTTCTGTTTTAGCCAAAAACAAAACACCTAAAACAAAATGCACGCCAAAAGGACCCTTAATATTTTGTTTTCTATCAAATGAAACATGATTGGACATGGCAATGGGCGGGGTTTGAACAAGTTGCCCCCATCCATAATCCGTCCCGTGACGAAAAATTATTTTCCTCTCATGTTAGGGGTGGTTTCATGTCGGTTTATGCAAAAATTTGAAGAAAAAAGTCAATTCTGAATAAATTCAAGATATTTTTTCAGAAAATCAATACAAGTGTATCAGAATTTTAACAAATATATGCATAATTTTTTAAACTTCATAGTAGAAATCTAAAAGATGATGAAGAAGAATGAAAATAAGAAAATGAAAAATTGATGCAAGGGAGAAGGGGAGGGAGGGACAAGACAGCCTAAGAAATGAAAAATCTCTTTCAATTTTTGTTTGTTGAATGAAAATGATAGGATGGACAAAGGAACATATTTTATTAGAAGGAAGGAAATGAGAATTTTATATATATTTGATAAAGTAATTTTTAAACAATTGAGGAGTAAAAGTGACATTCCATATTTATGGGTGGGGGAGTATGTTTTTTCTCTCTTACCCTCCTCTCTTAAATAGAATTTTGGGGGGATACGAAAATGTGGGTCACTTTTTCCCTTCTTTCTTCCTCCCTTTGTTGCTTTCCTTCCAATCATTTCTCTCCTCTATCATTCCTTCTCCCACCCTTTCACCTAAACAAAACATAAATTGATTACCATTGATTACCGTCCTAACACGTCCCAATAAAAAATATTACAAAAAAAAAGAAGGGATTGACTGGGGGTGGACGTTGAACAAATCCGACGGTACAAATTAATTAAAAGCCCTCTTATGATAATAGGATGAGTTCTCTGTATTTAACAATATGATGGAAAGACTTATCAATAATTTATTACATATAACAAAAATTTGTCTCACTTCAGTAATTAAAAATGAAGAGACTCATTATGAAATGGTTCTTTTGATAACTTTACTCTAATTAAATTGTTATCCTTGTACATAATTAGTTGACAAATTTAAAATTTTCAAATAATTCTAACACGCCCGTTTAATAGTTGTGTCGGCCAAGTTTAGGTTGCACCAAAGTCTAATACAAATGTTGGGAATGGGATTGCTTTATAGTCAAATCTTGTCTAGCTGTCTAGGCCTTGGACCTTTGACAATTCTAATAAACAGCGTTCAACAAAGATTCTTAAACAGTAATTTATAAGATAAAGTACATCTCGTTTTAAAATATTTAGCCACAACAATCTACGATAAAAAGAGATCAAAACTGTTATTGATTTCCCTCTTTCTAACAAGTAGATATTGGGTGCGCCCTGTCATTAATGCACCCACTCAATAAAATATAATATATTGTCTCGTTATCAGTAATTTTATAAGTAGGTAGGTTAACTTTTTTTGAAATAGAGCATTGTTATTGAGTGAGTACACTAATGAGATAACGTGTTTGACGCATCCAATATCTACTCATTCCCGACTAGGGGGTAGTAGCCTATTTTAGACTTTTCCTGTGTACTAACATTTATAGGATATATACCATGCATGGTTTGCAGCATCAATCAAGATCGCAATATCAGTTGCGGTCACAGTGTAACAGACTCGGATAAGTCAGTGTAAATTGACAAATATAAATCGCGTGCGGTCACAGTGTAACAGACTCGGATAAGTCAGTGTAAATTGACAAATATAAATCGCGTATCGGACGGTATAACGAACCATGATACGTGGTGTCATGGTTACATTGAACATATTTCCCTAGAGATAACACACTACAGAATGCAGGCATGGTTTTTCAGTGCAGAGAATGGTATTGACTTTTCCTTCCCTCATCCGACTCTTGTGGGCTCTATGCCAGTTAATACCCCTGAACCCCTTACTTTCTTGATACTATTTCAACTCTGCATGCCAGTGAAGGGAGGTCTATCATTTATTAGGGTAACAACCACTAAATTCAGTATATATATATATATCCAAAAACCCTATATATATATAAAACCACCAATTTCCATTCCCCAATTCAAAACTCAAGAAGCTCCTTAGTGAGAGAGACAAGTCTCCCATGTCTAGTCCATTTCTTGTTACCATCTTGGCTGTTGCCCTACTAGTAGTGTTATTGGGATGCACAGTTGCACCACCAGCCGAGGCGCGGGCTTTCTTCGTGTTCGGAGATTCCCTCGTCGACAATGGCAACAACAACTACTTGGTGACCTCTGCACGAGCCGACAGGCCGCCCTACGGCATTGACTACCCTACACGCCGCCCCACCGGACGCTTCTCCAATGGCCTAAACATCCCTGACCTCATCAGTAAGTTTTCATAGCCTTATTTTTTGAAGTTGCACATTTTTTTTTTTTTTTGTCTAGTTGTACACTAAAGCTGTTCATAATGTGCATTACCAGGTGAGGCGATCGGGGCGACGGAGTCCACATTGCCGTACTTGGACCCTGCCCTCAACGGACAAAGCCTACTTGTTGGCGCCAACTTTGCTTCGGCAGGAATTGGGATCCTCAATGACACTGGAATTCAGTTTGTAAGTAGAACTAGCATGTGTGTGTGTTTGTGTGTGTGTTTGTTTGGATGTTTGGACCATTTTATGTAGCACGTATGTGAGTTCTGTTTCTCTAAGCGATCACTATTAAGGACACAAAAAGTTGAAAAAAAAAATATCATGTGGATTGGCACGTGAACTTCACTATTAAGGACACAAAAAGTTGAAAAAAGAAATATCATGTGGATTGGCACGTGAACTTGAACTGCTATATACACGTGTGTAGATATTACTAGATACGGAATAATAGATATACATATATCAGCTCTTCATCCTTCACGTTCAAACTTCAAAGTAACCATCTTTTTCTTCTTCCAGGAAGGCAGGAAGCTGATGTTACCTGCAGCTTCTTTCATTTTAAGTTCGTTTAGATTTTGTTTATGTAATGTTTGGTAGTACCGAATTGGTGTCTTAAATTTGAAATTTAAAAAAAATTAATCCAAAGCGCGGATTCAGTGCCGCCAAACATGGCATTAATTTAAACATACATTACTTAGCAAATAACCCCTGAAGTATTTATATTACCAAAATAACCTTTATTTTTTAAAAAAATTTAAACAACCAAAAATAAATAAAAATTTAGTGAAATATCAAAAATATATAATAATAATAAAAGACAATCTACTATCCAATAACTATGCTACATGTCCATTGAGCCAACAGACATTCATGATTTTTCTTTAAAGAAACTAATAGTTTAATAGAATTAATGAGGTTTGTCAATATCTCACGTACCCTCTTTACGTTTCATAATTTCACTTATCTCCCCTCTCAGCAATCAGAAGGTCAATTTTGCCCTTCCAATGCATGATATGACAGCAAACATTTAATGGAAGCGGGATTATGAAACGTACATGGAGTTTATGTGGAATATGGACAAGCCTCCGGGGCTGTGTTCATAGAGAAGCCTTGTGACAGAGACCTAGAACTCCCAAGAAAGGAACATTGCCAGGCTACCAGCCCTTCTCTTATATTCTCCGCCCTGTTTTGCTGCTTTCCAGTAAAGGGCTGCTATTCTCTCTCTATATGGTGCTCATTAGTTGGACATCAGTTCTCAAGCTGTTCCAATTTTAAGCTTCAACTATAACATACACACAGATTCAACACTAATTCAAACAAAATTCTATATTTACAGTTAACTACAACGACGTAATTTCTTTCTTTTTTCGTGGTTAGGCGAGCATAATAAGAATCTTTCAGCAAATGCAGTTCTTCCAACAGTATCAGGTAAGGGTGAGTGCGCTGATTGGACCAGCACAGGCGCAGCGTCTAGTGAACGGCGCCCTGGTCCTGATCACACTAGGTGGCAATGACTTCGTCAACAACTACTTCTTGGCGCCAGTCACGGCAAGAAGGATCCAATTTGGATCCAATCTCCAGGCGTTCTCCCGGTATCTCATCTCCGAGTACCAGAAAATCCTAATGGTACTTGTCATTGCTTCTTAGCTGTTCATTTCTAGCAAGATACAAGTTGCAACTAGCATGGACACACCATGCTTCAATATAAAGACGGACTGATTAGACAGACAAAAACAATTTTGACACACAAAGGTTTTCTAACTATATGGGGTGATTGCAGAGGCTCTACGACTTGGGAGCTAGGAGGGTCCTGGTGACGGGAACTGGACCATTGGGTTGTGTCCCGTCTCAGTTAGCCGCGAGGAGCATCGATGGGAACTGCGCGCCAGAGCCCCAACAAGCTGCGGCCATCTTCAACCCACTCCTTATCGAAATGATTAGAAACCTCAATGGGAAGCTAGGCTCAAATGTGTTTGTCGCTGTTAATGCGATGGAAATGCAAAATAACTTCATCAGCAACCCCCAAGCCTATGGTTTGTGCAGCATCATGCTTTTCAGTTTTGATATTTCAACAATATGCATATATATATATACACACAAGTAAACATATGAATGTTGAAAAGTGTGTGTGTAATATACATTCTTTGGGAAAATGAGTGCTTACAGGACTCTTTTTCTTGGCTTGAACAGGTTTTGTTACATCAAAGGTAGCATGTTGCGGACAAGGACCCTACAATGGACTTGGACTCTGCACCATTGCCTCAAATCTCTGCCCTGATAGAGACGTTTATGCATTCTGGGACGCCTTCCATCCAACTGAGCGGGCAAACAAAATCATTGTCCAAACAATCGTGGGTGGATCTACCAAGTACATGTATCCCATGAACCTAAGCACCATAATGGCCATGGACTCTAGGAACTGATATAAGATCACTCCGAAGAAATATTTAGATAAGGATATATGTAATCCATATTTCAATTTCCCTCGAGTATTCATTGTTCATGTCCTCTGTCTGGAACTCCAGTTTGGCTAGATGCACTTCTGTCAATCCCAATTGAAATGCATAGTCAGTAAGCCTAAGTATAAGGGCTCGGTAGAAGTTAAACGTAGAGCATTGGTCCTATATTCAGTAAATATGTTTCATGTTTTAGTGCACTTAAGGGGCACAAGTGATTTTTCATTATTGATCATGTAGCGTCTCAAGTTCTAGTGAACAATTATGTTACCATAACATGTTGAGTAGCTTGGAATATTGTGAAAGATACATGAAATATATCAACCTGTTTGTCATTTGATTAGTTGAGGGCTTCTCTATTGTTTCTTGCAGTTGTCATTTTCTTCAAATACCCATACAATAAAATTTGATACTCAGACAGCTAATGAAGAAGATACTAAGTTGAATTCAGGAAAACGATACTAAGGTGAGGCAGTAAGATTTGAATAAAGTTTGTGTGTGCTTCCATATGAAATGGGAATATAGTTCCATGGTTACATATCAGCTACTCAAAATTCGACAGACAATTATATGGCAACAAGACGACCTCTCCTTGGGGACCAATAAAGCACGAGAAATTGCATGCACTTTGAACTATGAATATATGTTGCTGAAACAATGAATGAAAACTAAACAGGAAGCCAGATAGAGGCATTGGAAGAACAATAGGAAGTGATCTTTCAAGGTTCAAATGGACATAAAATATTTTATTCAGTAGATCATTAGAATTATTACAGATAGGAAATGAACATTACTGAGGAAGGTAATTGAAGTGGCAAGGTGAAAAGAAACCTCATTGGTGCAGGTAGAACGCTCCTTGAAATGATGAACTGACACAGAAAAAATCAGTGTGAATAAGCTATTAAGAGGCTCCTTTTTTTTTTTTTTTTAAGTTAAGGATGAGAATTCTTGAAAGTGGAGGAAGCAGCTAGTTTCCTGTACCGTATCATTTTGATTGCATATGAATAGCATCAATGTCAAATGCCCCACCACTGTACAGAAAGCTCAAGACATAATTCCAGCATTTCTCTGCAAAGAGTCCTCCATAAATTTCACTGGGAAACTTCAACTTTCAAAGGAGACACAATTCTCACTGTCCCGCACAACTCTGATGCATGCTAACCATACCCTAAATAATTCTGATCTTAGATGATAACAAGGTATTCCGCGAAGCAACTGTAACGAAATGAACCATGATTAAGATGTCCATATTTTAAAAGATCACTAATACTACAGAACTATGATAGGAAGAGAGAAACTAAAAACCAAGAAGTCTTTCTCATTATATAAAATTAAAACTCAACAGAGTGCAATTTAGTTCCAATTCATTAGAAATGGACCGAGATGATATGATGACAACAAGAGAAAGTAGAGCGGTATGGTCATATATACAACAGAGACCCATTGATGCATCAGTAAGAAAAGGTAGATTCATTTACATAAAAGATAAAAGACAGAGGCCGGCCAAAACTCATGTGGGATGAAGTAACTAAAACAGATTTTTAAAAATTAGATATAGTAGGAAACATGGCTTTTAATAGAAAAGAATAGAAAAAGAAAATTCATGTGGTCGAATGAGATAAAGGCAAAGATGATGATGATGGCAAAAACAATTAACCGAGATGATGACAATCATAGTGAAGATGGTGATGAATCATGTTTGTAGTTAACAAGAAGTGATGCCTAGTTAGACCAGGACAGAGAAAAGCTAAAGCAAAGTTTTTCCAATATTTGCCATTGTGTAAATCCAAAAAAGAGAAGACTGACTAGGCAGTGGTCTCACTAAAGAGATTCTAATGTACAACCAACATGCCTGTTATCAAATATATAGATAAATTTCTTACGTTCTAATCCAATCATCATTATCATCATCGTCGTCATACTTGCCTTAATCCCATATGAATGGAGTTGATGACATGAATTCTCTATTTCCATCCTATTCTAGTACAAGCCATCTCTCCTCTAATATTTTTAACTTTTTAAAATCATTTCTAACGATTTCATCCCATGTTATTTTCAAGTCATATCTTGCTCAGACTAGTAAATAGGACTGAGGATATAGTTAAAGCCACTAGTAGAAAACAAAAATAACTAGTTATAGTAAGCGTAAAAGAGTTAAATGACTCGAACCGAGATGCTTTAGCACTGCTTCCTAAGAGCAGCGTGTCTACCGATTTCACCATAGCGGCTTGCTTCAACTCATAATTCAATCTGCCTCTTACCCTCTAAGCAAATTAACCTTCCCATCTCACCGGTGCATCTATAGGTCTTCTATGTATGTGTCCATACCACCTAAGTTTACTCTCTCTAATCTTATAACTAATAGGTGCCATACCTAATTTTTCCATCACTTTTTGGTTTGCAACCCTATCTCTTCTAGTCACTCCTATCATCCATCTTAACATCTTAATTTCGGCTACATGATTTTGTTGCTCTTGCTTCTTTTTAAAGACCAACACTCTGCGCCATATAAAATGTTGGCCTAATAACTATTCTACAAAATTTTCCTTTCAGTTTATATGGCATTCATTTATGATTTATCACAAAAAAATGCCACCAGCGTGCCTCCATTTTTTCTAATCCAAATTTGTTTATTAAATAATATACACATGACATAAAAAATAACATTGTTAATCCAACATCACTGAAAGTTAAAACGGTTATGCACTCGAATCTTTCTTCAAACTACAAGTGCAGAGTGCAACTCCTAAGGTTGCAATTTATTTTCCCAAGATAGCATCAAATTATAATGCACAAGGTATTAGCATCAACCAGTGGGCACTAGCCTAGATGGTATAAATTCTCCTCCTCAAAGGGGAGGTTGAGTGTTTGAGCCCTGGGAGGGGCAAAATATAGTGGGGTGAGTGTGCGATTTCTTGAACTTTCGAAGAAAAGGTATTAGCATCAAACCGAAATCAACATAATTGAGTAGTCAATTAAAACAAACAAATAGTTGGAGATTTTGCACACAATGATAGTGAAATATAGCTGATTCTCTTTTATTGCTGTTTTCGGGAGTCCTCCCAGATAGTTCTTATTCTTAAAGTAGTTGTGGCCAGAACTCAATTCTCAAGGCAGCATCAAAAAAGTTTGAGGGCTCAGTCTTCGTAATCAAAGGACATAGTGTAATTTTCTAAAGACATTTGGTATAAGCAGGGACAGAACCAGCTTGGCCCCATTGGGGGCAGCTGCCTTCACTCAGAAAATTTTCTTTAACTTTATATATATTACAATAATCATAAAGTTGACCCAGCAAATTTTTTTTTTGGTTCTCGTGAACCCTCGAAAGGGGTATGATATTCCCACTCGATTTGATTTTTTTTGAAGAAATGACATAATTGTCCCTCAAAAAAGAAGTATAAGAGTGTCTTTTGAGACAATTGTGGAGAGTGGGAGTGATTCTAGGGGAGAATCATACTATTTCATAGTTAAAAAAAAAATTTGACCAGTACGAATACATTTATCAAAATTCTCCAACCTCTTGAGTTTATAATATTTCCTTTATCTTATTATTGCCAAAAGCTAGCCCTTCCTAGGATATATCATGACCCAGTCACTGGGCGTAAGGACTTTCAACTATGCCATGACCTCCCACTCTTCTGCCAGATTGTTTTGGATGCGAGGCAACTGGGCATACTTAGCATGCACAGACTCTAGCATGGCAACCCCTAACTTCCAAGTTCAAAAGGAAATAACAGACTGGAAGTAAATCCTCAAGTCTTTTACTAATTATCACTCTCTCTTAATATGTTAAATCAGCTATAGAATTCATTTTTGTAAAGGAAACCAAGAGAAAATAATTGCCATACCAAAAGCTTATAGATGTGTATGTAAAGGGCAGTTCCAATAGGAGATCATTAGTGCAATATATTTTCTTCCCTTTTGGAAGGAAAAGCACGAAGGAATATGACAAATTTGTATGGAATAATATTCCTATTACATAAAATCCATCTCCACAAAAAAAGCGGAAGTAGAACAGTACCTCTCACCGGACATCATGACAGAGTTATCTCTCTCCTACTGGTAAATGCTTTAACCAACCTTTGAACCAGGTAGGTCCTTCATTACTGTGGCCTCTTCTTCCAACATTCTTCTTCCATGCTTTGAAAAATCAAGAAAAGATAAAATAATTACATAAGTTATTATATCAAAAAATAAAATGCCTCAGAAATATATGAAAGACAATGTTGACACCTTAGTGAAGCCTTTGTTTTCTCATCGTGTGCAGCCCTTCGTCGTCTTAGAAATTACTATCCCGCTTCATCTTCTTCAGATTTAAGCATAGGCTGCATTGTTTCACAAGTAGGATATTTTTCTTCATTGAACTTCTTATGGAATAAACCCCAAATAGAGATATTGCTAAAAGAAAAGGACCCTAAATTTTAATGAGTAAACATGTACTGAAACAGCAACAACATCATCTCAAAGATCAAATTGATTTTTATTTTTACTTTTTGGTAGATGGAAACAACAACTACAGGTGATGATGTCTAATGGGGAATGTCAAGAACAATTTATATAGTTAAAAATAGAATACAGATCATAAATTTCATGTCCAGCAATTAGAAGAACTTTCAAATCACATTCTCAAACCAGCTATTATCTGTTTTTGAATAAAAAACCTACCACCTGATTTCATCAGGGTTTCCAGAAGAAGCCACTAACCAAGCTTACCAAGTTGCAATTTGAGTGAAATGAAGTCACCCAATTGTAATTCCATAGCACTCCAATGACTCGCAACAAAAGAATTAGCTTGACATTTGGTCCCAAAATGTTAACTTCCTTATTAGCTGCATCATTTATGATTTATCTCAAAAAAAGGCCTCCACTATCCAATGCTGGTTTCGTCTACCGTGAGGTGTTGAAAGGGGTAGCCTATAAACAAACCAAACATTTGACATTATTTTGTACCATGAGCTGCTCTTGATCTCAAACCCGTATCCTCACGCTTGTTAGCCCAAGCTTTTACCATTGCAACAAGCATAGAACCTGAATCCTTTATCTGCAGCTTCTAAATAGGTTATGCATCCTACGACCAAGTGGTCAAATAAAGCACGAACTGACTTCTTCACGGATTCTTGATATGAAGTACATTTACTATTATCAAGCAGGTGCTCCTTGAAATGCTATAGTTTTAAAATTCCGTGCTGGTTTTCTAAAATCCTGGTAATATCTATAAGACCACCAGCCATGCCTAGCACAGAGAGAGAGAGAGAAAGAGTCCCACCCAACCCAATTTATCACCATCCTTAGAATAGAAGGATAATAAGTACAGATACAAAGCATCATGTATCATCAAGATAAAGAAATAAGCATATAAGCAAAAACTCTCTAAGACAACCTAAAGGGATGTCTCTAAGCAGCCAAGGCCAAGAGCAAGCAAGAGTACCCCTATCTGCCTAGGCGTCGGAATGTATGAAATACCACAAGGGCCCAACATCTCAACACCACCTTCGTCTAAAGTTTCAAGTGAGACTTCATATTCAAAGGACATCATAATGTACTCTATCCTCCCAAAGTGAAAATTTACCAGAAAATTGCCCGACATCCAAGACTATAGGTCCATCCATATTTCAAAGTTCAATCCAAGTATCATTTATTAATAAAGAGTTTATAGTAATAATAAATTAATTAATTTAACCTGCCAGTCCTATAACCTAATAATATCAATTGCCACCTTCCTGGGAAAGTACTAGAGTTTTGAGTTGTTGAGCTTTCTTACCAATCTTAGGCTTCTGGTTCGGCCCCTCGTAGAAGTAAGCTATCTTCCTTAAGCTAGAGTTAGGGTGTACCAGATTTTGAGATGATTCTTCTCCAATAACCCAATTTTCTCACTATCCTAGTGCTCACAACCAATGCCATTCTTTTGAAACTTTCATTTAAGCCTTAATGCAGTCCACATTTCTGCAAGTGTAACTAAATTTTACAGTTAAATCCCTTCAAAAACTGATTTTTTTTATTACATTTAAAAAAAAAAAAAAAAACCCAAAGTATTGGACTTAAATCAAGAATCAAGTTCACATTGATGATGGTTTAATAGATACAAATTTTAATTTTCTTTTCCTCAGTTTTCACACAGAAGAATTCATCCTAGAGAACAAGATAATACCGCAGCACAAAGTTGCAACAATTACAACAATTGCAAATTACAAAACCCTCTATAGTCTAGAGAGAATCGTGGTGAAGAACAAGAGCTGACCTTCGTATCTCGCTGCCTTCGCCGACCTCTATCAGCAACACAATCAGCCTCTGACCTCTCTCTCTCTATTCATCCTAAAAATGGTTCAGTGGAAGAGTTTGCACTCGGGTGTGCATGGCACTACGCAACTTTAAAAGTAACAAACCAATGATTGTTTGCAAAGTCATAAGTAGTCACGTGAACGGCACGTGAACAAGACGAAAGGGTAATATAACCCCGGACCGTAACATTAACGTGGTATGTGATTATTGGTTACTCCGCAAGCCAAGTTGCACGCCCAATAGAGGGTTATATACGGCGTCGTATGATCCTCGCACCGTTCCAATCCACGTCGTACTCTCTTCGTAGTTAGCTTCCTGAAATCTCATATTTCAATGATGAGTGATCGTAGTGTAATCTGATAAGAGTTTGAAGTAGCTAATTGCTAATTCTTCGTCTAGGGTTTCTTTTACTGTTCGTCTCTTTCTCTGATTTTTGTTATTTAAGCTTTATAAACCATTAATCTGATCAGTAGACTTCAGTATTGGGTGTATTCTCTTGAATTTGTGTGAAAAAAACCAAGAAACTATTGACCCTTTGTATGAAATACTCGTTTGGATCACTTCTTTGTGCATATGTGTTTGTGAAAAAAATCTTCAGGAAAAAAATCGAAATGTTCGAATTGTCATTTGTTTGTGCTCTGTTTTATGTATGTAATGTGTTTGGAGATTTGTGATGAGATTAAAGAATTTCATTGGACTGTATATAGTTGAATGTTCATAGCATCTGTGATCTTACTTGCTTGTTACTTGTGAAATTGCAGCCTCAAAATTAGAGATTCTTCACTTGTCAAATAATGGGTGAAGTTCCTTCTTTGTTTACCTTGTGCATGGATGCAATTAGAAAAGAAATTGTTCAAGGTAACTTCATATGCTTATTGTTATTTTGATATCAAATAATTGAAATAATACAAAGTGTGAATGGCTAATGGAGTACTGTTCTATTGTGTTAGCAGGGAATGATCTTCTGCCATACATATATGGACTACCGTCGGACTTGTTTGATGGCTTGTTGATGCACTTACCCCCATTGGCCTTGCAAATGATACAGGAAGAAATGTCAGTTGAACAGCTCACTCTATTTCGTATTTATATAGATTTATGTTTCTACTGAAGGTTATCATTTTTATGAAGATTTTAAATTTATGGTTTTTTGAGTGAAAAGCCATTGTATAAGCATTTTTTGTACATTTAGAATTATGGAAGAGTTTCTTGATTTGGTTGAATGAATGTCTAAGGCAATACCCAATATATGTTCTATCTATGTGGTGTTGTTGGGAGGGAAATAGTGGAGACAAATCTTACTTTGGCATTATTTTGCACAAGTGTCTACTTTCATACTCAAACATTTTGTCTCTCTTTTCATGCTTGTTAGTCCAAGCATTTACCACTATGTTAATTTTTTCTTTTTTTCTTTTTTTCATATGGTGGAATGGATCTGGTTTTTTTAGTCCACATGACTTGTGAAATTGCTATAGCTAATTTGAATAATTTTAGGGGTTTTATGAATGTGATTATTTTAATATTTTGTATGAAACCAAAAAATTACATTGCTTCATATAGAGATGATGTATTGCGACACTACTACTAATGTTGTGTCCATGCTTCATAGATTTGACTAGATGATTAATTCTGTTGGCCATTTCTCTGTTATGCTGCTACTATTACGAGGCAGGTAGCCAGCAGTTTAATTATCACGATACTTACCCTATCTTGTGTTTTTTTCACTGCATTATTACTTCCAGACAATTAAAGTTGAATTATACACATAACTCTTCATATTTTATTAGACTAAAAGCGTGAGAATTTTAAATATATATATATACATATATATATACATATATCAGTTATTGGGTTTTCTCTTATTTATATTTGGGTATGCTTTTCTTCCTGAGCTCTTCATGTCACTTATTGTTTTCATGGGACACTGACTAAAGGGATCCATTATTTTCTTTCTTGTGCCAGGCAAAATATATGTACTTTTTGTTCTCTCTATAATTGCTATGGACATGAGTGATTCAATTTACATGCAATGTATTTATCATTGCTTCTCAACAACTCTACTTACTTGGAAACTTGTGCTTTCTTAACTCACACGACTGAGCTTATTGTTTTCCATCTCTCACTCATCTTAGCTTAATACAGTCATCTCATGTACTGTGGTAGAAATTCTTATTCTTCCTTTTTCTTTTTCTTTTTCTTTTTTCCTTTCCAGGCTATTGAATAACTGGGATGACCATGAATCTGCCAGTGATTGCATTAAAAATCGTCGAAAACGTAAAAGGTTAGCAAGAATGGAGTGTCACTTTTAATTACAAAGAATATTATCAACAGACCTATTTATTAGATATAGAAGACAAAAGTGAAGCAGGGAACAGTTTCTGATTGAAACTAATGTTTTCAGATATCTGAATTTTGAGACAGCATGGAGGACATTATATAAGTCACGTTGGCCCAGTCTTGTCCAGCAGAACCAACCAGTGAATTGGTTGGCAAAACAGGATGCAGCAAATTGTGAATTGACAGATGACTGGCAGCAGATGTACTGGGAAACACATCTACAGAAGTATGTCCGTATGGACATATTAGTATATATTATTACTTTATCCATTATTTAACATGTTTTTTTTACTGAATCATTATTTAACATTTCATTATATTGATATGAAAAAAGTTGCCTAGATGGAGCAGCAGAGGTAGCTTTACTACCATCTTTCGATGGATGTATTGGCGAATTAGAAATTTCAGGTAAGTAAGTGTTTGCTCTGCTTGTTATAAAAATTTCCTTTATTGATCAGAGATATAGCATATATCTGTGTTCACCGATCTTCATTGCACTTCTTTTACGTGCTTGCTCATGCATAAGCCATAAATACATTCATAGTCACACATAATATATATATATATATATATATATATATATATATATGAGCATGTTATATGTTTTTATAGGAAAGAAATTGCACAAGGCACAGTAAATTTTTTGAAGTGTACGCATTTTCAATGTTTTCACCCTTAAGTTTGATGTTTGTAAAAATTTCACTATATTTTGTGCATTTTATATCCCATTGTGATATGATTATAATATCGTGCATTTTAAAGCATATCTGAAGTCAATGCAATGAAACACAATAAACAAGGTAAATGGATGTGAAACTTAATATCGTGCATATTAAAGCATATCTGAAATCAATGCAATGAAAAACAGTAAACAAGCTAAATGGACATAACACTAGAGAATGATAAAGCATTGTTGATGGTCAATATTCAAAAACTTAATCAATGATACCTCACTTTATATTGCATGCATTCTTTCTCACACAATTCTCATGGGTTGGTTAAATGATCAAGGACTCTGCAAAACCGTTTTCATTGTGCTATCAAGTATTTCGAATCCCGAATTCCAAAGCTCTCTGCTCATTCTTAATCGAATATGTGCACATCATAACCATATCTAGTTTTATTTGGTTGTGTTTTAAAAAAGTGGAATTTATGATGGAAAGTTACTACAATTTTTTGATCTATGATGATTCATGCACTGTTTTTTTTTTTACTATTGTCCTTTTGCGCTTTTTTGGTTTGCCTAATGCATGTTACATTTGGTTCATTAGTAGAAGAGAGAAGAAAAAGGAATTGAAGAGAAAACGAGAGGAAATTTCTCACTTATTTCCTCTTCTTGTAGGCTTAGAATGTGGAGGAAATTAATGGAGTAAAATTTCCTAATCATTTTGAAATGCTCGTATTTTGTGCTATATGTTGTAAGCAAACTTCCTTTTCTAATTTTTTCTTTAAATCTCTCCTCATTTGAAAGGAAAATATTGTGGTCAAAAGAGGAAAATTTATAGGATTTTCTCTCCACTACCTCTTTTTCTCTCCTCTCTGAGCAAAAGAAACAACAGAAAGGGAGGATCTAAAATTTCCCTCTCTTTCTCTTCTCTTCTCCTCTTCCACCAAATTTAATTGTTGAGAAAGAGTTTATTTCACATATTTCTTGGTCTGTGCAGATGTCATAACAAAATCTATTGGTTACGAGGTGCACATGAATCATTCAACATGTGACTACTCAAAGTTGTCTACTCATTGCCAAAAGTTTGGGTTGTATGCAAGGTAATATGTCATTTCAGTTTTCGTAATTGCGAGCTTTAGCTTATCCAATGTTGTACACTTTAATTTCAGGATGGGCCTTAGTTACATGGTAATTTATGTACTACACAGCTTAGTTACATGGTCATTCTTTTTGCATTAATGCATTGACTTTTGTCACGGTATAGAATTATATTATTTTCAAGTTCTCTCATGAACAAATTTTCAGATGAGAGCATTGAAATGTCAATGTATTTTTTTCTTTGTTTTGAATCACATCATGTGTAAATCTTCTGACGTATTACCTATAAAAAATTAATTGTGGTATATCTGCTATATTTCTTGCCTTTTATGAGTTATCAGCAGAGTCGAGTTCTTACGAATATGTTTTGTTTTTTTGCAGATTTCTGAGACTTCAAAATGTGCTTTGCACTGCAGAAATTTGTGTAAGTTACGTGCTTTTTGGGTGGAACAAAACCATGTCAAATGAGTTTGTACGATTTTGTCTGTAGTGTATGAGTTGGTCTGTAGTTATGCCTGTCTTAAATCAATTTGAATATAATTTTTATTTTCTCTCATATGCATAATAACCCAGCAGGAAATGCATGCTTTGATGATAAAAGTCTAATCAATTGGGAGTAGGCTTCTCTGAATAAATTCATTATGGTCCATTATTCTGTCCACTTTTTTTCTGTGCTAGAAGGGCTTTTCTTCAAGTGATGCTTAAGAAGTTGCTCCTTGTCAAATCATTATTGGATTCAATGCATTTTGTACATGTGTCTTCTTTATATTATTTGATAAAGGACAGTGAAGGGAACTCTAGGATCAATCAAATGGTCGTAAGCTCTTATGACCAATTGATTGAGGATATTGGAAGAGATACTAATTGGCTAGAAGAAGATTAAAGTTCATCTTCTCTCTTTTCCTGCGAGTAAGCAACCTTGGTCATGCTCTAATAGATGTATTAGGTGCAATTTGTCAAAATATGCCAGTTCTGCAGATGTCAATTTTATTATGAAAGGTTTAATATTATATGTGCCATATAATGCTGAAGAAAATGCCACTGCATGTCCTTGCACCTCATAAACAACTAACTTGTTTCTTAATACTGCATTCACAATTGTGTGTATCAAAATTTTACTTTAATACCTATTTCTTGGAATGATAAAATAAACAATACTCATTCTATTCTAGCAGTACCCACTCTGATCTCCCTTCTTATCTACTCGAAGTGATAGTAGTTCTTAGATTTTTATTTTTTTTGGTTATATTTGGTTTTGGTGTTCAATTAAGTCCTAGAGAGGACACTTCTCTAGTATTCATAATATCATCCAAGTATATTGGCAAAATTAACTATTTTCTGCTTTTACTTGTCTACCTCATCCTGTCCTTCCCGCTTATCTTCTGCATTCAACCAGAATATTAAATTATTTATAGAATTAAATTACTTCATTTTAATAATATAGCTAAATTGACTGAAAACTTGATTAATTCCTGTATAAGGATTTCTGAATGATTGAAATAGAAATTTAAGTCAATTAGCTCAGGTTTGGATAGTGTTTAGTTATCATGGGTTTAGAAATTTTAGAAAAAAATCTACATTTGAAAAATGATTCTGCCTACTACAATTTTAAAAGAAATGTATTGCTCTATAATCTTTTAGGCCTGGATAGTCTTTTACAGATTGTTTAAGCTTAGTAAAGATTGAACTGAGGAATTTAATGTAGATGTGTGTGTGTGTCTGTAATTTCCAGCAGCAACAGAAGAAAATAGTATTTATTATAACATATTGGCTTGATTTATGTCAACCGCTTTCCTTTTGCAGCATTTGTTTAGGAACAGTAAGTTGCAAGGACTGGAATTGCGGTGGATCAAGTCGAAAGAGCATGTAAGATTATTTATTTTTCTATTTATGGTTAGTTCTTCTTAGCTAACTTGCATGGCGAAATCAAGAATTTCATCTACAAAGAGTAGTATGTAACCCTAAGAAAATCCAACTGAAACAGGCACACAAAGAACAAAGTGAACAAACTAGTAACTCAGAAATCTCCCCCAGGCCTACAATAATGCCTTAGGCTCTGTTTGGTTAGATGGAAATAAGCTAGAAAAGAAAAGAAATAGAAAGTGAAAGAAAAGTGAAGTGAATGAAAAGAAAAGAGATTTTCTAGCATGCATTTGGTTAGCATGAAATTTATCCAAGAAAATTGTAGAAAAATATTAGTTTGTTAGTTTGGATAACATGAAAGTGAAAAGAAAGTGATTATGGATACCAAAACTACCATTGTGAAGTAAAATGATGGATTATTAAATTCAAATATATAAATGTTTATATTCATTTTTATTATTTATATTTAAAATAAGGCTTCGTAATATTTTCTTAGGTAAAACTAATTATTAGTTTAAGATAATCAAATTAAAAAAAAAAAGTTAGAGATGAAGACGCAATACTACTGCTTGGGAGAAAAATCAAATATTTCATCATATAATATAATATATATATATATATCCATATGACTTTATGAGTGGCTAGAATTGCAACACAGAATAGACGATTAAAAAAAAAAATTCTATTTAGAAGCATGATCTATTTTGAGCAATTTTACTTAAATTATCATTGATATTCTGTATATATAATTGTATAATTTGCCTTGCGAACTTACCTCAGAATAAAAGTTGTTTTGGAGAGAACTTACCTCAAAATTGTTGTTGTTTTGGAGAGAACTTTCCACAATTAAGTTACTGGGTAAAATAGGAATTGCAAATAAATAAGTGCTTACGTGTTTTTTGGGGGAAATTTTTTGAGGGAAAATACTCAATGCGGGAAACTAAATTTTCCATTAGGTTTCTCTTTCCATCTATCCAAACTCTAAAAAAATTTAAAAAATTTCTCTTTCCTTTCTTTTCTACCTGTTTCCACCTAACAAAACAAAGCCTTAAGCAAAAAGGGCCAATTTAGTTCCCAATTGCATACCTGTATCTAAATTTATAGGTAATTATGACTTTTTCACATTTAGAACTACGAAACTTTGACTAGTAAAACACGGATAGGTCTACTGAAGTTCACAAATAAAGACCCAATGGGTCACAACTACTGCTCATGTCTAGAAAATTAATAAATATAAATATAACTGAACTAGCAGCAAATAAAATAACAAGCATAAAATAGGACTATACTTAGACTAAAACTTGACTGTGCAGGTAACATGTGACTTCTTCCTTAAAATTGAATCGGTTATAAAATATCTCACCTGTATGCTTTTCCTTGAGCCTCTTATAGACTGCATCAGTACATGAAAGGGCGAACAAGAAATTGATGCTTGGGGAGACTACTAAAATTGAGATCGACTGCCCTAGCTCCTACAGGGACACTTTAGAATTCACTACCATAAAGTCTAGGCCCGTTGCTGGTTGTTGATTCTCTATTTTCCTATCAATTACAAACAAAATTACATGTCTTTCTGCTTGTGCTTTGCAATGCCTATCCAACAGAATAGTTGACCAAATATTGAATAGTTATAAAAGACGATGCCATCTTTTGTTCTTCTCTTAACCATCTCACTCTGATGCACTAATGTATAAAATTGTTTTGGCGACAGAATAGCATAACTTTTTGTGTCTGTTTAACCTTCTCATACATACGTAATTGTGACCATTTAAGAGAAAATGTTAAAAATTAGCATTCTGATAATGACAGATCTCCCGAATATGGATGTGCTTATATCTGAACTCAGGTATTGAATCAACCTATACGTGATTATTTTCAAAGATTAATATTGTGCGAATGAGTAATACTTAAATGGTATCATCAATTTTGTTTTCAGTCGCTGAAGACACAAATTACTATTTCAAAAGCACGGAGTGATTACAAGCATTAGCAAAAATTATAATCAATTATAAAATGAATCAAGTTTTTGAGTTTCTAAAAAATGATATCATATGGTAAAGAACAAAATTTGTTTCAAACATTGTAGAAGACAAGATAAAATCATTTTCACCAATGAATATTGTTCCAAATGCTTCCCTATCTTATGTTTCATGTGTCTAAATATAATGAAAGATACAGGAAATTTGGTTTAGCTTAAGTGTCATCTTTCAATCTGATGATTTATTGGTTTACCATGCACAACCGTACAGGTTGAGGGATTATGCGAACTTCTGAACCAGAACAGTGAATCATTAACATCACTTAAGTTCATTCATTGCAAGCTCTCTTCAACTTTTGTGGATGCAATTTGTGATTCACTATGCATCAAGGGTCTTCAAACACATGGAATACAGCACTTCTCAATCAAGACATCAAGCTTTCTTGAAACTAATCCATTATCATTTCCTGTTGGACTAGCATCTTTTTTGGCATCGGGAAGGTGTGCAATTTTTTTCCCCATTTATGCTTCATTTTCTATTACCTTTTTTTTTTTTTTTTTTTTTTTTTTTTTTAATCGTTTTCTGTTTGTTATTGCTTGAGATCAATGACATTCTAATTAACTATCGAATTTAATGTTTCACTTTCAAGTTTTTTAGGTCAATAGGATTTAGGTTGGCAAATTATGTTCAAAATTAGAGGCTATGTGTTTTTTTTTTTTTCCCTTTCTTTGAGGCTATCTGTTTATTGTATTTTCATTATTGTTTCAAAGTTTGTTAGGGTAATTAGTTGGGTTTCCCTTCCCCAAGGGAAAATGGGGAATTCTAAGCTTCAAGCAAGGGAAAAGGGATAATTGCACTCTCAATTATGCGCTCACCAAATTAGGGTTCAGATTCTTATACATTCATCTCATTAAAGATGTTAGGTATTTCAATTTACAATTTTAGACATACAAAAACCTCTTTTGGAATGTACAAAATCGTTTTAGAAATTGCTATATTTAAACTCCTAAAGGATTCAAGACAGTGGAATTTCGATTGATTGAGGGATCAACCCACTGGACCAAATTTGATAATCGAATTTGAACGTGATTTCAATCGAGCTGAATGTGTGGAAAGAAGTTTCCAAATAGGTTTCAAACTCTTATAACTGTAATCCTTTTTTGCTTCTAAGAAGTTTCCTAAGTTTTTATAAAACCATCCAAGCATAACTCAAATATACACGAGCATATTGAGTGCATTCTCTTAATCTAATTGTTAGGGATTTCTTTGTTTAAGCATTCATCATCATACACTTGGAGAATGTGTTTGGTGTTAAACATTAACAATCCCAGTGCTACAAGTATTTTTAACACCGGAAGCATTTTTCACTCGACCAACAAGTAACGGATGTTACTAGCCATCAAGATCATTGTGCTAAAGGAAGAGCAGATCACGTCGAGCAGATTCTTTGACTGGCAACCACAAGAGCTCAAGTGAAGCATCTAGCGTGAGTTTGTGTCAGAGCTAACGTTGTAAGCCTTTCGTCATACTGAGTTTGATATGCCTAGAATATCCTTTGGTTTTTTCTCGATGAGGTTTTTCACATAAAAACCGTGTGTTAATGTGTGGACGTTTTTACATATGTATTTCCTTTATATCTATATCATGAATGATTTTTACTTGCTTAATAGTTAGTTGAAATTCGAATTATAGGTACTGCTAGTTGAAAATTTGAATTTCCTTCTAAAATTCATTATTTGGTTTGCAAGACTTGTTTGCCGCCCTCTAGGTCTAGTTGCGGCCATATTGTACACTCTGACATCCGAGTCTTGTCTAAGATTAAAATCCTAATTTTTCAAAGTTGATTACTTTTGTTAGGAAATACTCTTGATTCTTGTTATAAGAATAATAGAATATAATGGTTTTGAGAGTATTCTATTACAATTGTTAAATTGCATTTCATAACGTCATAAGTTGGATATAACATGTTAAATTATGTAATATTTGCACAAATGACTAAATTTCCTCACACTAATAATCGTAAAGGTGAGGCTATAAATGTTTACTTCAAGATCTCTTCTATGCATTTTAAATGTCATGTGCTAATGCTTGGCATCATTAGAATCCCAAGATCACATTGCAACAAGGTTTAGTACTTGAATTCGACAAAGTTTACATTTAAGTTGTGCTTATCTTGGCGGAGGAAGATGTGGGAGATGGAATCATAATGTTGTAAGGAAGATGTGGGAGGTATATGAGCAGTTAAACTACAAGTTTCTACCACGAGTGGTATCTCCTGCCATTGCCCAAGGAGGAGGTACAGTGTTTTTAGTCCCAGTCACAACATGGGTTTGTGAGTGTGTACTAGTACACACATGCAGATGGTGTAGCCTTGTTGGTGCAAGAAATATCAGGTGTCATCTCAATAATGTGAAACATAGGGTAGCAGATTAATAGGAGTTTTGCTGCATTGTGGTAATATTGGTGTTATTTAACAAACTGGCTAGGAATCAGGGTTTCTGATACTTTTAGGAGTTAAATGGATTGGAGATTGAAAACCTAAAACCAGTTAGGTGGAAGATTTTTTTATTTTTTTATAAGTAAAATTGTATTAAGAAGTATTCAAAAGGGGATCGCATCCCTTAAAAGCTACACGAGGCCAAATAGGATCTCTAAACTCTCAAAGAGTCCAAAATATCAACAATCCCATCCCTGGATTTGCAATTTTTCCCTAGAACTCAACAAAAAAGAGTGCTAATAATTGAGAACTTCAGCACACCAATAGAGGTCTCCTTTCCTTCAAAAGGATCTCCTATTTCTTTCAAGCCATAAACACCACCAGACGCACAAGGGTGTGATGCTCCAGAAATCACGAGATTGGGCACCCACTGTACAGCCTCTCCAATCCTGGACCAAGCCTCTGGAAGATCTCGGCATAACCCATTAAACACCAAACAAACCCAACAATCCCAAGCCACAGGGCAATGCCAAAGAAGATGTTCAACAGTTAGGTGGAAGAAATTTGGGGAGACAGATGGTTTTATTGTGATCAGGCTCATTTGAGCAAAAATCTGAGGGGAATAGCAGCGTGTTTGAGGATTTTTCTGCTACTGTGGCTTCTCGTGAGACGTTAGATTTATTGTTGACTGCATGTTCTTTTTCTTCATTTAACAACCAAGATCAGCCAACTTTCCATAAACCACAGCTTCCTCTTTTTCCTTCAAATTGAGCTTGCTTCCAAGTGCCTTGTTTAGTGTAATTCTCATCTTAGCCCTTGATCTGGCTATTTGTCACTTGTGCGGGACTTTGATTTTCTCATAAAGAAACTCAATCCCTTTGTACTGGACGCTAATTTCTAGACAAACTTTACTAACATGGAGTGATGTTGGGATTCTATCCAATATATATGTAAGCTTAATTCTGCCTTCGGTATTTGTAGAGCACCAGATTAAATGTTATCGACCAAGCTTTTCTGTAGCTTAAGCTATTTCGAGCACACTTAGCTTATAATTCTTGTAAGCTTATGCAATTCTTTTTCTTCTTTCATAAAAGTAATAAAAATAGAAAAAATAAGAATTCTTTACTTACCAAAAAATAAAATAAGAAAAAATAAGAATTCCATCTACTCTAAAAGCTTAAGCTATTAGAGAGGGTGTAACTTCAAAATTTTTGGCCTTCAACTCCCCCTCGCGTGTGGCTTTCTTTTGGTCCAACACGTCTTTCAATTTTAATTATCAGGGTGACGGTGAGGTTTGAACACAAGACCTTTCCTCCTCGGATACTATGTTAACAACCATCTGATCTAAAAGCTTAAGCTATTAGAGAGGGTGTAACTTTAAATTTTAAATCTTTCAACATGCCTACACTTAGGTGACATGCCTAAGTTTCTATATTAATGTCTCCTGATAGGCATCAGGGCATAGGGTCATTTACCCAGTGTAGTCCTTGTTAGGCTAGACTGGATATAGACTTAACCTTTGGCATTTTTTACACAAAGCGCTTACACTCAGGATTCGAACTCCTGTCCACACATTTGATAGCCCAAGCATTTACTGTTGCACCAAGCACTGACCTGATCCTGCACCTCAAGTTGCATCCAATTATTCAGACAGTTTTCCCCTGCAGCATCAGCTTTACTTGCATACCCTGTATTATTTTGTTGTCAGGTCTCTGTCGTCGTTAAGTTTCTGTGATGACTGCCTTGGGCAAAAGTTTGCAAAAATGGTCTTTAATACCCTACTTGATGCATCGGCTAGACTAACCATCCTCGATCTTTCTGAAAACAATGTGAGTAGTGAATTTTCATTTAACATTTGTTCTACCTTTTTTGTCATTTTTTATAATTAATTAATATAAATCTTCATCGATAATGTTGCAGATTTCCGGCTGGCTTTCTCATTTAAAATGGAGATCCTCAAGTTGCTCCCAGTTTTCTTTAGAAACAAGCAAGTCATTGCAGTCATTGCGTGTGCTCAATCTAAGGTATCTTTCTACAAACAATAACAGAGTGCTCTAATCTAACTATGGCTGCATTGATACAGACACACACACACACTCACTAAAGTATGAGTACAAAGACTACATTACCCTTTATAGGGATATGAATCCTACACCACTAATACTGTATACGAACTATAAAAAATTTACAGTAACACCCCTCTTCATTCTGACTGTGGTCTGGGACAACACCACCAGAGTGGTCTTCAACGGATGAATCTTGACCGGGGACAAGCCCCTAGTGAACATTTCTTCATGTTGTTTGGTAAGTAGAAGTATAATGCACAATTAAATCTCCAGTTTCTACCTTGCCCAAACAAAACGGAAGTAGTTTCAGTATTTGTACAGGCTTGAAAACCGAATTAGCAGCAAGACAGGTCACTAACGTTGTCACGGTACATAGCAACAGTTTGTTCAAAAAAATTGAGATCCCGTAAAATCTGATGTGACTAGTAGGTTTCAGACACTGCATAAACAACAGATTGATATTTGGATTCCGTGTTAGATCGCGAAAAGAGTTGGTTTTTCTTGGATTTCTATGAAACCACATTTGGACTTAACAAGATAGCATAACCTGACATAACACGTTCCAGCCTAATCTGCTTGTAAGAAACTGAAGAATTTTTTTTTTTTTTTTGATAAGTAAAAATAATATAAGAAAAGGCGTTCAAAAGGGGAACGTGTCCCAATTACAAGAGCGGGACCAGGACTAAGGCCCCAACGAATCCAAGAAAGTAATTAAATCATCCGAAGAAGAACAAAAACTTCTCTTCACATGTGGGAAATCACCATTTGAACCTTGATTACTAGCCTTCCTTATGTATGGCATTCACTCCAAAAAGCATCTTAGCGTAAACCAAAATAAACAGATGCGTATATGAAGAAAGCTGCAGTAGACGACAATGAGCCAAGGTGCTTTTCAAGTAGGCACGAAACTAAACTTTTTAATAATTCTACTTTTACCTATAAAATCTTAAGTAATTATGCAAATGCCCCACAGATTTTATATTTTGCTCCTCACATTTTTTTGCTTCTCTCACTCGCGCACACAAAACTCCATCATCCACTATCTCTCCCTCCACCGTCGACGACTCTCTTTGTTGAATAACTAAATAAATATTTTTAAAATTCTTCTCATTGACAATCTCTCTCTTCATGAAAGGAGTGCAAGCCCCAAGATGATAAGAAAAGTACTAATTAATTTATGGTTGAGACGAAAAAAGACAAGGTATATCTATTTGTTTATTTGTTTGTGACCTTGCAATTGATTTTACGTTAGGAATGTCCATTGTAGAGATTGAGAAATACAAATTTTGTGGTCTTGATTTTTTATTTTCGTAAAAGTAACACACCTACACATTTTACTGAAGACTTGAACCCACAATCTTTTACTTTTGAAAGGTAGAGTAAATACCACTAAGCTACAGCCCTTGGTAGTATATTTAGCAGTGTTGCACCGTTTTGAAAACATAAAAACTAGTTGGGGATAATTGTAAATGTATTAAACAAAAATATTATAAGTTAGTAATTAAGTTAAATAATATATTAGTTGAATTTTTTTTATCTCTTTGTTCTTCAAAGTCGCCCCCACTGCAACTAATTTCTGGCTTCGTCACTGTTTTCAAGTATTGAAAATTTATTTTGACTGCTTGCAAATGGGCAGTACGAGGGAATGCATAAAGTGACTGACAATGCTTAAATCATAATCAATATCAGGCTTGTTCATAATAAAATAATGAAGTCCCCGACCATGCTACGGTATCCAGTTGAATCATTAAGAAGATCAGTTTCATGTATTGACGGTTGCCGGTTGGTTTATTGAAGAAGTAATAGTATTCGCACTAAACATAGTTAACTAATGGAGCAACTTCGTATATCAAGGTTGAGATAAAACGAGATTGACTAGCCATGAGAGGACTCAATTCCTAAAAAGAAATGCAAGTCTCCTAAATCATTCATGGTAAAAGTTGAAGAGATTTTGATACCAAAACGAATATAATGATCGGCAATGAGTATCATATCATCGACGTAAAGGAATAGAAGATTGATGCTAGTGATTGTTTTGCATACAAATATAGATGTGTCACTCTTACCATAATGGAAGCCTTCATGAAGTAAGGAGCTAAAAATATTGAAACCACGTGTGAGGAGCTTGTTTGGGTCCATAGATGGTGTGTTGCAATTTGCAAACATGATTTGGATGCTTAGAGTCAATAACACCTGGTGGTTTCATGTAGACTCCCCATTCAAAAATACGTATGAGGAAGCATTATTTACTCCAACTTGTCGAATATTCCAAGACGAAGAAAGGCCTAAAAATACAGAACAAATTAACGTAGATTTTACAACTGGACTGAAGATCTTGCTAAAGTCAATAAAGCTTGTTGTTTGAGACATTGGCAACCAAGTCTTGGGCAGCTTTACAGACCCATCTGACTTGCGTTTCACCTTATGTATCCATCTACAGCACCAAAAAAAATTAGTAGGATTATATGGCACAAGAGTCCAAGCATTATTGGCTAATATTGCATTAAAACCCACTAGCCATTGGCTCATTGCAGCCGACCACCTTGGATTCTTGACCGCTTTCGTAAAAAAGATTTTTCATGATATGGAGAAGAAAGAAAGAAGTTGCTTGTTCTTGAATGTCAGCCACGTAATCTAGGGATTATAGGATCAGAATGTGCCATAGTATCTGGTGTGAGGATTGTAGACCTCAACATGCACGAGGAATTTGATGAATAAAGTACAATACCCACAATTGGAGTGGGATTGGTTGCAGGTGAAGCAGCAAACAGGAAGTGGATTGAACAGTGGTTCCAGCAATACTAGAAGAAGAGGACTGATCAGATGGTGAGGGAGACATCAAAGGTGCATCTGAATATTGAGTACTGGCAGGTGAAACAAGTGGCAGCACTGTAGAGGAGTGGAGTAAACGTAGATGGTGAGGATATAACAACTGGAAAATTAAAGGCACAGAGCTCCAACAGAGAAGTAGAAGAGGAAGAAAGAAAAATAGAGGGAATGGGAAGGAAGATTCAGTAAAGACAACATGATGACTGGTGTAGACTCATCCAGACAGCATGTCAAGACACCTTTAACATTTTATAAATCAATGCATAGCAATGAAAATGCATTTGCACGTGCAAGGTGCCATCTTATCTGGAACTCGTGAGGACAAACCTAGGAAACATTTGCAACCAAAAACTTACATTAGTGAGTAATCAGGTTGTGATGAAAGAGAGCTTTAGATGATGAGATGCCATTAAGGTTTGCAGTTGGTAAACAATTAATAATAAAAGAGCAGTAAACACCACATTCATCAATTACAGAGAGAAAAAGTTGGGCTTAAAGTGTGTGACTCAAGAGTGCGGCGACTGGGACCATGTAAACAGTAATGGAATGTTATACCTTAATTAGGGCTGCACTAGTTGGTGTGTGCATGACAGCATGTGTGTGTGTTATTACCCCTGAATAGAAAGACTAAGGTACCATTATAGTATATGGAATGTGTTCAAAATCATGAGAGAGAGAGAGAGAGCAGACATATATTTCTTGTATATTCAACACAAAACCTAATAAGCCTATGTAGGCTTATATAAAGATACAAGACTAACCTAATAACACAAGGGCCCTACCAACTATATGTAATTACATAATGAGCCAACATAAGTATATATATATATAAATATAAACATTCTAACACTCCCCCTCAAGCTGCAGATATATATTAAATAATCCTAACTTGGAACAGATAGTCCTTAACCGGTTATGACCCAATGCTTTGGTAAATATATCAGCTAATTGATCTTCAGACTTCACGAATGGAGTAAAAATGCTCCCACATAATATTTTTTCTCGAATGAAGTGACAATCAACTTCAATATGTTTGGTCCTCTCATGAAACACAAGATTTGATGCAATGTGAACGGGTTGCTTGATTATCACAGAATAATGGAGTAGGAGCTTCAACTGTCAACCCAAGTTCTTTTAGAAAATGTTGTATCCATGTCAACTCACTAGTGGTATGGGCCATTGCCCTGTACTCAACTTCAGCACTAGATCGAGCTAGATTTCCTCCTACAAATGTGCAGTAGCCTGTAGTAGATCTCCTATCTGAAGGAGAACCAGCCCAGTCAGCATCTGTAAAACCTTCTACCCTGAGATGACCATTTGATTTATATAGTAACCCAAAACCTGGAGCTTGCTTGAGATATCGGATAATCTGAAGAACAGCAATCCAATGTGGCATTCTAGGGGCTCCCATAAACTGACTTATAACACTAACTGCATATGAAATATCAGGTCAAGTGATAGTAAGATAAATTAATTTCCCAACGAGGCAACGAAATCTGCCCAGGTCATTAAATAGATCACCCTCATCAGACATAAGTTTTGTATTTGAATCCATAGGAGCATCAACCGGACGACCACTCAACATACATGTTTCTTCTAATAAGTCCAACACATATTCGTTGGCATAAACTTATACCCGTCTTGGATCTAGCAACTTCAATACCCAAGAAATACCTAAGTTTACCCAAGTCTTTAGTGTGGAATCGATATTGCAAAAACAACTTCAACTTAGCAATGCCTTCAGAATCATCACCTGTGATCACAATATCATCTACATACACCACAAGAAATATGAAGCCAGCTTTAGTGCGCTGGTGAAATACCGAATGGTCTGTCTGACATCTGTTAAGACCAAATTTTAATCCTGCCTCAGAGAATTTTCCAAACCAAGCCCGTGGAGATTGTTTCAATCCATACAGGGCCTTTTTAAGGCAACAAACAGTGTGAAGATACTCCCCCTGAGCAACAAACCCAGGTGGTTGCTCCATATAAACCTCTTCTGCTAAGTCACTATGCAAAAAAGCATTTTTAACGTCTAACTGAAACAGAGGCCAACGTCTATTAGCAGCAAGAGAAATCAAAACACGAATAGAAGAAATCTTAGCAACGGGGGCAAACGTCTCATCATAGTCAATACAATAAGTCTAGGTATAACCTTTGACAACAAGACGTGCTTTTAAACGCTCAACGGACCCATCTAGAGGATACTTCACTGTATATACCCAGGTTTGGCACCTGAAGTTAATAGAACAAGATTCCACGTGCCATTCTGATGCAAAGCATCCATTTCATCTTGCATTGCTTTCCTCCGGCCCAAATCAGACAAAGCATCCTGCACAGTCTTAGGAACAAATGTAGTAGACAACTGAGAAGAAAAACATGAGAATGATGGCGATAAGGAATTATAGGAGACATAATGAGCAATGGGATGATTAGTGACACAGGAGCGAGTACCTTTACGAAGTGCAATAGGCAAGGAATCAAATACAGTGGAATGTGTTGGATCCAAAGACTCTGAAGATGATGGAGGAGGCATGACAGCAGATGGTTTTGGTCTTCGAGTGTACACCTGTAACGGGGTAGGCGAAGCAGATCTAGGTTAAAGAGAAAGTGAGGGAAGAGGAACCGCAGGAAGAGGCGACTCAAGAGTGATATCAAGAAGTGAATCAGTATCTGAAAAATATGGGATGGAGTCACAAAAGGTTACATCCGCGCTAATAAAGTACCGTTGAGAAACAAGACTATAGCAGCGATAACCTTTATGAGAACGAGAGTAGCCAAGAAATACACACTTTATGGCACGTTGGTCTAGTTTATCAAAACCAGGACCAAGATTGTGGATATAACATACACATCCAAAAACTCTAGGAGTAAGAGAAAACAAGGGAGAATTAGGAAATAAAATAGAATGTGGAGGAGATTTGCCATCTAATACAGATGACGGCATACGGTTAATAAGATGACAGGCAGTAAGAACAGCATCACCCCAAAACCGTTTAGGCATACGCATATGAAACAAAAGAGCACGGATTACTTCTAAGAGGTGTCGATTCTTACGTTCTGCAACTCCATTTTGTTGAGGAGTATAAACAGATGAATTTTGATGAATAATTCATTTATCACTAAGATATGTATCAAAGGGGGTTGAAGAATATTCCTTAGCATTATCAGAATGTAGAATACGAATTGGGCATCCAAACTGAGTTTTGATTTCTTTTCGAAATTTTTTGAAAAATTAAAAATAACTCAGAACGATCTTTCATTAGAAACAACCAAGTCAGGCGAGAATAATCATCCACAAATGTCACAAAATAATGAAATTTATTGATTGAAGAATGCTTTATTGGACCCATACATCTTAATGAACCAAATGAAATTGACTAGAGACACAATTACTAACCCTAGACTTGAAAGACACGCGATGGTGCTTACTAAGTTGATAAACTCCATGTGATAAGAATTTCAAATGACTAAGACTAGGAACTTGACACTGCAAAACTTGAAGTGACGGGTGACCAAGATGACAGTGCCACTGGAATGGAGACAAAGAAGACTGAAGAGCCACAGGATAAGGTTCCAAATCAAAATAATATAAGCCACCAGCTTCATGCCCCGTACCAATCTTCTTCTTCGTCTTGAGATCCTGAAACACACAAGAAGTAGGATCAAATGTAACAGAGCACTGGAGAGATTTAGTAAGCTTACTGATAGACATTAAATTAAAGGGAAACTGAGGAACATATAAAATAGATGAGAGAGACAAGGAATCACTAAGTTGAGTTGTCCCCAAACCTGAAACCTTAGTGGATGAACCATTAGCAAGAGTAACACTTTGAGAAGGAGTTACAGAATTAAAATCAGATAGAAGAGAAGAACATCCAGTCATATGATCAGATGCTCTAGTGTCTATGATCCAAGGACTGCGAGTGGAAGACAATAAACACGTGTGTGCAGTACCTGACTGGGCAAAGGTAGCCGTGGAAGATGAATTAGATGCTTGCTTATAAGACAAAAACTGAGCATACTCATCCCGTGGAACAGGGACCGTATTTGATTCAGCTACGTTGTGAGATCCAGAAGCAACATTATTCAGAGAGGAGGAAACTTGATTTGCATAACTAGATGGTTTGCCATAAAGGTCCCAACAAAAGTTCACAGTATGATTAGAAAGGCCACAGTGAGTACATTTTTGTGATTCCCTGCCACGGCCACGTCCTCCCCGTGAATCACAACCACCACGTGTGGAACTTCCCCCACGACCTCCACGGTAAGCATTATGTTCACCATTTGAAACTACCAATGCTGATCGCTCACCACTCTGCCCAGTATTCAAATTTGAGGTATCACTTGCAACTGTAGTGCGCTGAAGTCGAGAAAACACCTCAGCAAGAGATGGAAGTGTGGGACTGCCCATAATATATGCACTCATATGATGATGACAAACCAGTAAGAAAACGGATAACATTAAAGTCCTCGTGCTGTTGTTGCATACTTCGAACATCAGCAGTAATGGGCTGATACATATTCAGCTCCTCACAGACTCCCATAACTTTGGAATAATACTTTTCTATACTATGATTACCTTGTTCAAGATTGAAGTACTGCTTACAGAACTCATAAACACGAGTGATATTACCTGTCCCAGAATACAATTGCTGCAATCTGTCCCATATCTCCTCGGCAGTATCCAAATAAAGTAAAGTTGAACTAATTTGGGGTTCAATACTGTTTAACATCACAGAGATGATCTGAGCATCTTCCTTTTCCCATGCATCAAAAGAAGCATCAGTTTCCTTGAGTTTATCTTTAGTCGGATGAGTACCAAGACCTCTGCTTTTGAGAAAAATTGCAACAGATTTAGCCCACAGTATGTAATTCTTCCCATTGAGTTCAACTAAAGTCATGGGAGAATGAAGACTGGATGTGGGAGAAAATAAATCTGAACTGGATGTCATGTTGAATCCAGTAAAACAGAGAAGAAAAAGAATGCAGAATCTGTATTCTGGCCGAACCTGGAAAACGGTTCGGATCTGGAAAATGGTCCGGATCTGGGCAAACGGGCCGGATCTGGGCTATCCCAGGTTTAGTAAACCAGGGTTGGAATGACATAACCGTGTAGCCAAACACGGGTCTTCTTCTTCACACCTTCACAAACGCCGGTGAACAATGCAGCGGAGGCAACGGCAACCCAATCACAAGCAATGGCCGAATCAATAAGCAGCGACCGCTGCAACTTCCGGCCAAAAAACGTGAATCGATGAACCTCACCTCTGCAAATCGAGACGGCAGATGTCGGCAAGCTCGCTGACAACCAAAGAGGAGCTGCCGGCGACGACGAACAAGCTTCAGATCTGACGATGACAAACGAGGCTGCAGATCTGACGACGGTGAATGAGGAGCTGGCAATGACGACGAACGAGGAGCTGCCGGCAGAGACACCAACACCACAATCGCGATTCCGATCTTATACAAGAACAACCCAATTACAGACTCTCACACCCATGATCGTGTAACTCTGATACCATGTTTAAAATCATGAGTGAGAGATAGAGCAGACATATATTTCTTGTATATTCAACACAAAACCTAATAAGCGTGAGCCTCGTGAACTAGGTTAGCCCATGGTTTGTATGAATGCGCTTTGAAGAATATAAATTCTTCTACATAAAGGCGATTTTGTTTTTTGGGGACTTCTCCTGTTTTGAACAGTGTTTTTGTGCATAACAAGGTCATTTATCATTATTTCAGGGGAAATAATTTATGCAAAGATGATGTTGACAGTCTTAAATATGCTCTGGTTCATATGCCAAATTTGGAGATTCTGGATATAAGTGACAATCCAATTGAAGATGATGGAATCAGGTCAGTTGGATTTTTCACTCTCCATACTTCAACTGCAGTAGTTTTATGTTCTCACAAGCTGTTTTTTCTTTTTCTTTTTTCACTTTCCAGGAGTTTAATCCCCTGCTTTGTTGAGATGTCTGAAAGACACTTCCACTTGGCTGATTTGAAATTGGAAAACTGTGACCTTTCTTGCAATGGAGTGAGTCAACTTTTAGAAGTTCTCTCAACCTTAAGCAAACCTTTGAATTCTCTTTCTATTAGAGATAATGACCTTGGCAGGTTAGTTTGGATGATATTGGCATACATTTCCTATTTTTTTGTCCCAGATGTATTGGTTGTAATATTGCTGTCTCCAGCAAAGTGGGGGCATCTTTGGCAAAATATTTGGGAACAGGTATTCAAGCCCTTGATATTGAAGATATTGGACTTGGTTCATCTGGCTTTCTCAAAGTACAGAAAGAAATTATTATGGAGTTGAAGCTTGTCTACATCAATATAAGGTTTAATTTGTTACTAGCTTCTTTAAAATTTTCTGTTAAACATATTTCCTGAAAACTTAACATGATGAATTTTGTATAGCAAAAATCGTGGTGGGATTGAAACGGCAAAGTTTGTGTCCAAGCTCATTTCATGTGCTCCAGAGCTTATTGCAATCGATGCTGGGTATAATTTTATGCCTGTGGAATCATTGTCAGACATATGCTCTGCCTTGAAAGTTGCAAAAGGTACATGTTTATATTCCAAATGTTTTTAAATTCTGAATATAGATTGATATTGTTTGATCCATCAAATAATGAGCATGCTTATGGGGGAGGGGATACGATATCAAGTCATAGGTATCTAACTGTTTTGGAATAAAGGATTGAATAGGAGTTTATGAAAACAAGAGAAAAATAAATGACAAGAAGATAAATAGGCACACACATAAATGAGACAAGGATTTATACGTGGTTCACCCTCACAAATAGGGTTACGTCCACGGGCGATGATGATTCGTATCACTATTAAGAAGAAGATTACAAATTGAAGAACGTTTTGGTTCTTCCCCACAATAATCTCTCTTCTCACACCACTAACTCACCAACAAAGAAGACTCACACAACACTTCAAGAAATACCCAAATAGTATATGGTTTACATAAAAGAAGAAAACCCACCCAAAGACAAACTTCAACTCTCTCTTGAAGATTGTATGCACCAAAGGATTTTCTCACACACACAAAACCAATATACTCTCCTGATCCGAATATTGTCTCTTTGTCTCTCTCTTGCTCAGATGCTTTTCATCAAATGAGTGCAAGGCTATTTATAGCCAAAAATATACTTGGTGTCCAAGTATATTACAAAGCTTCCTTTGGAAGCCAAATAGCACTTGCTGCCCAAGAATAATTCTTGGTGCCCAAGAATTTCAAAGCTTCCTTTGGAAGCTTCACCATCACACTTCTGTAGCCAATAGATTTTTGCCATGTCATAAATGAATTTCAGTCACATTTCTAACACTAACATATCCATACCTAATTATTTTCCACTGTGTTGATGAAATGTGTAACTTGCACAACTTTTTCTATTTCCCAATTCGATCTGCTGTTAGTTTACCTTCTTTTGTTATTAGCATCATTGAACACTCCCAGAGCATTAAGCTTAACTGAATGCATTCTTTACTACAACTTCCATGGTCATTTTGGTTTGAATAGCCACCTTGTATGCTGAATTTGTATTGTTTGTCTTGGTTTTATTGGCGCTTGTGATCCTCCTACAATTAATGGGTACTTATATGTTGTGTTATAGCAGCAAACTATGCTCAGTTAAATTAATTTTTATCTGGAGTAAGATGGAAGCATGCCAAATCCCACTTAGAAGCTCTTTAAGACCACAAATTGACATACTAACCTTCTGAAATTTATGCTGCCCAAACAGATACATATTAAAACTTAAATTGATTTTTTGACCACAGAAACTTCAAAAAATATGAATATGCAGTAATTTCTTAAATAAAAACACCTGATATGAAAAACTACTAAAACTAATTAAAGAGCCATGTCACCTTCTCCTGATTAACACTAAGCCTTCAAAAAAGTTATTTTTAATGGGGCTAACTAGTTGACCATATTATTAAAGGCCTTGATTAATTTCCATTTACATCTGTGTAACATATCAGTATTGCCATTTATGTATTCATATTTATAAAGCAAAATTGATTTTATGGCACTTGTGCACTCTACAATTGCTGAGCAACAGTCCCTTTGGGGGCATCCAATAAAGTTGGAACATTACACCTTCTCAGCAAGAGGTGAGGTGTGTAGGATTGAAGAAATTCTAGTTTATTCTAATTTCCATTTAAAAATTTATTAAACACACCCGGTGTTTCTTGTCTCGATGCTCGTGATTTCCACTTGCTCATCTTAGCTTTTGAATAGGGCTGCAAATGAACCCAACCAAGCCAAGCTTGGATATTTTCGTGCTCAGCTAGCCAAACATAGAGTAATGTTCATGCTCAGCTTGGGCGAGCTCAACCTAGCCAAGCTTGAGCTTGGCTCAGTTTTATACATCCAAGCTCGGGCTCAGCTCAGCTCAAGCTCGTTTGTTCAATTCTTTTCCTCAATCTGAATAGTTGTAAAGAGAGAGGGATATTTGCTAAGAAATGTACCCACACACACAAACACAAAAGACGATAAATTCCACTTGCCGGTTTGTCAATATCCCACATAGACCCCTTCTACGTTTCATAATCTTACTTATCTCCCTTAAGGTTTTGGTTTATGTAACATTTTCTTTTCTTCAATGCACTTTCCAAGGCACCATTGACTGCCTCAATCCTGACTAAAGTACCCTTAATGATTTGCATCAAACCCTCCTCCTTGAAGAAAACTCGACCTCGAGTTTGAAATAATTTACCACGATCAATGACAAGCCCGAGTAAAGCCTTCCATCCTTTCTTTCTTTGTTTCCTTGCTCGAAGAAAACACAACAATCCTCTTTCATCAGCAAAGAACATCCTTTCATGATCTTCACGAGCTTTTTCTTTGAATTTAGATGATTTCCGTAGCTTGCTTGAACAAATATAATAAAACAAAACCTGAATTAATGTGATTTTCGAATGAGAACAGCTCCAAGTTATATGTCGCAGCAAAAAATCATCCCAAATTGAGTTATGAATATGGAATTCATGATTTTCCAACTTCATGAACAAAGCTTCATTTCCCAAGTTACTCAAGCAACCTAAATCTGAAACGCCTACCATTAGAAGATCAGTGTTTTTATCTTCAGATTGCCTATCTTGAGAAGCAGAGTCTGTTTCAGATTCATTATTTTTGCTCTCAAAATCCATGATACGCAGGTTGAATGGTTGCTTCCTTAGATTTCTCCTCTGTTCTCTTACCTTTCTCCTTTGTTCTCTTACTTGCTTCATTGTCCTTGTTAATCTCAGCTTATGATATGTTGTTGACTTCTTCTTCTTCGGACTTCTCTCCTGCCATGACTGTCTCTTCATATTCCTCTCCGCTGTCCTCAAATTCTGGAAGATGGAAAGCTGAATGCACCCCCAAATTCTGATCTTCTTCATCTACACCTCCAAAAGATTGATCAAAAGTTGTATTTTCGTCCAGTGTCTCACTTTCTTCATATACACTTCCGAAGGATTCGTCAAAAGTTGAGTTGACATCAACATAATTCCCAAGATCTTCCTCACCCGAGAGTTGTTTTCCATCAATACTGTGGCAGTTTACACTTCTTGGGAACTTGGCAGACTTGAATCTTTAATCCTCACGTGCGTAGGACCAAACTTCAGATTCTTCAATACGTCTCACCATTGATGTCCATGTGTTTTGTGATCTGGCAGCACTCTGTTTTGGACTTGTAGACAACTTGTGCTACTGATTTTTTTTTCCCAGTAGTCTGTTCTGTCCAATATTTGCATTCATTTGCTGATTCCTTCCTCTCCAACTGTCCATATTCAGAGGAGAAGTTTGTTCTAATGTAGTGCTCAATCGAGAAATTTGATGTTGCAGATTTCTTTGCAGATTTTGAACATCTTCTTTTGTGGCTATCGTGCTTCCTTGCCTGGCCATTGATCCACAATAATCACAAATCTTAGAGGAAAGGCTCTGATACCACTTGAAGCAAACAGAAAAATAAAAAATAAAAAAATGGAAGTCTTCTTACAACTGTAAGGGAGACTGGGAATACTCCAATCACCGTCACAGCCTAGATTTCTGAAGGGAAATCTGGGAAAAGCCTGAAGAAACTTTTTATAACTCTGATAATAACTCAAATTATATTGATTATGACTTGGTTACAGCAGATATAGAGGGTTGTCCCTTTTATAATACTACTATTAATGACACTTGCCTTTACCACTTTCCTAAGTATACTTAGTAATTCCAAAGCTTAGTAAAACAAGGAGGACTCTTTTGACTTTTCTTCAGGGCACTTTCCAAGGCACCATTGACTGCCTCAATCCTGACTAAAGCCCTTAATGATTTGCATCACTAATAGATTATTTCTTTTATTTTAATTTATAATCCTGAACTTGCAACAAATTAAACTAAACTTGCAATGTTGCAAACTGAAATAGAATGCTTGGAAAATCAAAATATACAACTCATTCAGGATACTCTTAAAAAGCACAGTTATTTTTTTTTAATAGTGTCAAAACACCTTATGAATCTAGGGAGATTTGACTTTGTGGCACTTTTTACTACGTAGGGAAACTTGAGCATCTGGATTTGACGGGAAATGCTTGGTGTGATCAATCTATTGATGCTGCTATGTTGGCTGGATTTCAAATCAATGGAAAACCCATTTTGGTGCTTCCGTCAATGCCTCCCTCAAATGCACCATATGATGATGACCCTTAGAAACAATTAATCCACCGAGATACGCGGCAAAATTTATCTTGTCAAGTCGCTGAGGTAATGCAGGTGTTTGCAACGAATGTCTGGGTAACAAATTTGTTGTATCATTTTCTTTCGCTATATCAGGTTTGTATCATTATTTACTTTGTAATTTTGTCAATTCATGGTGTCTGTTAGCAAGGTTGGTTTAAATATTAGTTGGAGGCTTTTTTAGTAATATTTTCTTCACAATTTGTATATCTATATTTAGTTAAGAAATCTGATCTGTATTCTTTTTTTTCTTGGTATGAACTTTCCTGTAGTGTAGAACAGGAATTGTCCATTTCATTCAGTAGTCAATAGATTCAGTAAAGTCGTAGCTTAATACTTCACCGTTATGCTGTGTTTATGTTCAGTTACATATTAAATTGGTTTTGAAGTCACTTTGTTGATTTTCTCTTTGTGAACATGTTAACACTTAACAGCTGTCAATCTTTTGGAATATCGAAAATCTACCCATTTTGGTTACAGCTTGTATGGTCTGATTCAGTAGTCAGTAGATTCAGTACAGTGGTAGTTTAACGTTATGCTGTGTTTCTGTTCAGTTACAAATTAAATTGGTTTTGAAGTCACTTTGTTGATTTACTCTTTGTGAACATGTTAACACTTAACAGCTGTCAATCTTTTGGAATATCGAAAATCTACCCATTTTGGTTACTGCTAGTTTGGTTTGATTAGCAAGTCTATTCTTAACTTGTTTGATTTGATAAATAATAGTTGACAAGCTTAAGGACGCGGTTTCTTGCATGGCATGCCACCTTGTCACTTTTGAACTATCGGTTTCTCACATAAGAGGAGTCGAACCATAGACCTGATGCTTCCCAAGGCACCAGGGCCAAGTTCTTACCCACTTGAGCCAACCCCTTGGGGTTTCTATACACAACCTTGTTACTGTTAAGACACGGGGGGTCAGGGGGATCAGTGACAGCTGAAGCAATAGTACTACCACTGTTTAAAGGGACACCACATAGGTTCACACTCACCCCAGCTAGAAGTTCCTATTAGCTTGTTTAGTGGTTTCACAAGTCCTCTTGTTGATCTCACCTATCCAACCTTTTTAGGGACCTATCCTATTAGCCTTCATTTGCTGTTTACCTTGGATTGGATTGTGAAGCAAGCTGCAGATAAATAGGGATGGTTCTGAGAATGAACTACAAAGGAATTTTACTGTAGGACTAATTGATGTAATTGATATCATCTATTCTTAATTGTATTGCCACAATGGCCAGCCTTCTGGATAGATTGTTCTCCTCTACTTCATTACTAATTTGTAGAATTCTTGGTTGCTTTTCCGCATCCCTTGTAGTCTATAGATTGGCTTTGTGGTGTTCTTTTATAAAAGAATCCTGCTTCAGGGAAAAAAATTCAATACTTCCGGGATGCCTACTATGTAGTATCCCCAACCAATCAAAACTCTTCATTTCCCTAGTGTTGGGGTACTATATTCCCAGTCTTCCTCCAGATTCTTGTTCCTGTGGTTCCTGTTCTGTGTTTTATGATTTGCTTCAGCTGTTCTGGTTTACATACATCACATATACTCGAACTACGCCTTATTTTAATAGGAAACTCTGTATTTAACTTGCATGGCATCACATGCCTGTGTGTGTGTGTGTGTGTGTGTGTGTGAAAGAGAGAGAGAGAGAGAGAGGGGGCAGAATGTTAGCATCATATCATCATTTGTTATGATGGCTCTCATTTGCTTTAGTGGCTGCTTTGGGCATTTTGATAAAATAAAACAGAAATGAGCATTTTCACTTTTCATGGGAATCTAAGTATGGCCCTTGTAATGTAAAGGTTTATCAATTGTGCCCACCAAATTATACTGTATGGTTAGCTCATTAAAAGGTGTCTCACCTTAGTTTTCTTTCTGATCAGCATTATCCTAGAAATGCATGAGCCTTTCTTCTTGATTTACTGATCTTCTTATTTAAAGGAACATCACATTGCTGACTTATTGTTTGTATGGTAGGACTTAGAGGTTTTCCCATATATCTATGGTGATAAAATCATCACCACCAACTTGAGGAGTCGAATTATGTAGCGTTTGGCCTTTTGGGGGTCCCAATGCTGAAGTGTCGTCCCTTAAGATCTGCAGTCAATTTTATGCATATACAAGTCCTTTTCGTAGTTTATGATTTCACTTTACCTTTTTAATCAAGAGTCAGGTGGTTCGGTTTCTCTATACTACAACACAAGCATCGAACGGTCCTCATCACTTACATGTGGATCATGTGTCGCTTATTATTCAATCTATTATATGGAAACTCTTATGTACAGCGTCGGATGATTCTCATCACTTACATGTGGACTGTTGGATGCAGTACAACACTTGTGTTATACTGCATATGATCCAATCTCTTTAATCAGGAGTTCAAATTCTCTGAAGTACAGCACTGCATCGGACGATCGTCATCACTTACATGTGAACCGTTGGATGTAGTAGAATACTTGTTTTATACTGCATATGATCCTATCTTTTTATCCAGGGGTTCGATTTCTCTAAACTACAACACTACATTGGACCCTCATTACTTACAAATGGGCCATGCAATATAACACTTTGTTGTACTTCAGTTAGACTCCAAATCCTCCAGCACAAAAGTTGTACTGGATCTGCATCATTACTAACTATTTCTCGAGGGAAGTCTTTGGTACAACACCCTTAATCAGCCAACCTGTAAAGGTCAATCATTCATTAATACATTGAAAAACATATCTTGTTAAGTTAAACAGTATATAGAACCTAACATGATGAAGCAAAAGGAAAAGTGGGCAACTGTTTTTTTTTTTTTTTTTTAATTCTTTTTTTTTTTTTTCCTTGAATAATGCCCAAAAGGGTTTGTTGGCTAGCCTTTGTAATGAAGTTAGACTTTATCTTGTTTGTGCTAATATCAATCATGCCTTTTTGGAGCTTATCCCTTTTAAACTCATTTAACAAACATGATATAATGCATTGAAAGACAAGTTAACAAACCATTTTTTGGTTTTTGGTGGAACATTGTTGTCGATGTTGAAGTGTACCATCATTTCTGTAAACCTAAATTGAAGTCGACGTGAAATGGAAAACCTTGTCGTTGTCCAATAAATGTTCTGAAATGAAATGGAAAGCCATGTTAGATCTTACTCGGATTTATTTTTACGATAAATTTATTTTTGAGGTTTTCTAATTTTCTGCAATTTTAGATGAGAAATCTTTTACAGTACAACTTTGGTTTGTAAATTATCAATGTATTGTGGTCATGTATGCTTGAACAGTTGAGGTGTTTGGTTTAGTTGGCAGTCATTGTTGTGAGTTTCTATTTAATTAAATTAGGTCACTGTCAAAAAAAATTCCAATGTTCTTAGTTTTATTATGATGGGGTTGATCAACCAGAAGGGACTGTGTCCAGTGAATCTGTGGAGTATTCATCAACTACCTACCACTTCTATGGAAGAACAGAACTCCTTTGCAACTTGTTTGGTGGGGAGGAAAATGGGAGAAAGGGATAGAAAATTATAAGGAAAATGGGGAGGAATGGTGGTAGGGATTCCTATTTTTTCGAAGTCCACCGTATCCCTCCCACCCAAAAGTGTCAGTTTTTGGTAATTAAAAAGTAGGAAATTATAATGTGTGTGCGCGTTTAATCCTCGGTTAACTGTACTTAATTTGAAAACTGTAAAAACTGAACCAAACATACTATAAAATACCTTCTCATTTTTACCCTTTTAAAATAAGTATTTTCATAATATAAAAAGATTTTTATTTTATTTTATACTACGTATAGTATGCACGAATGGAATGAAATGCAGGAGGGAATGAGAATGGAAATAGAATGGAATGGTCATTCTCATCCTATTATTTGATTAAAAATATAGAGAAATGGAATGATAGCAACCATTCTAGTGTTTGGTTGGACCAATTTAAAATTTAAAATGGAATTAATCTTAAATTGAATTCTCCAAAATACCCTTTACTGACAAATAAATTAAATTAACAAAATAAAATTATTCTTTTCTTTTTTATTTCCTAAAGTAATGGCGGTGGTGGTGGATGTGGAAAGCAGTAGTGGTAGTGGTGGTGATGGTGGAAGGTGGCGGTGGAAGGCAGTGGATGTGACAATGGTGGTGGTGGCGGAAGTCGGTGGTGATGGAAAGCAATGGTGGTAGTGGAAGTCAGTGGTAGTGGCGGTGGAAGGCAGTGAAGGTAGCGCTGGTGTGGTGGTGGTGGTGGAAGGTAGCGACAATGGTGGTTATGGCAATAACAGCGGTGGCAGTGGCAATGACAGTGATGGAAGGCAATGGAGGTGGTGGTGATGAAGGGTAGAGGTGGTGGTTATAGGGAAGGCAGTGGAAGCGGCGACCCTATGAGGGTTGAAAATGGCAATAATGGTGGAGGCGGCAGCGACGGTGGTGGAAGGCAATGGAGGTGGTGGTGGTGGTAAAAGGTAGAGGTGGTTATGGGGGAAGGCAGCAGAAGTGGCGACCATGTGGTGGTTGAAAAATGCAAAAATGGTAGCGGTGGCAATGACGGTCGTGGACGACAATGGAGGTGGTGGTGGTGAAAGGTAAAGGTGGTTGTGGTGGAAGGCAATGGGGGTAGATGGTTTTTGGACTTAGAACATGAGATTTTTTCGGAAGTTTATTTTTATTAAAAAAAAAAAAAATTACTTGGAAATGAAATACTCATTTCATAGATTTAGTTGTGAAATATAATTTCATTTTCAGGAATGGATTTTCATTCTAATAAAAAGATCATTTCTACTTTAAATTGCATATCAAATAAATGAATGGTTGGAATGCGCATTCCATTCCATTGCATTCCTACATACTAAACACATCGTTATTGTAATAAAAATGACATTCAATGGTAGAATTAGAATTTGAAAGTTACAAAATTGTTGACACCAGTATTAGTATTTTTTGTTTTTAAAAAAAGTATTAGTATTTTTCGTCATTGACCATTAACAAATGAGAGGTATGTATTCCTACATTTATACACAAATTTCAAGAGAGATTATTGTAATGGAAAATGATAATTTTGAAGACATTTTTATACCGACAGAAAAATCGACTTTGACGTGGCAATACAATAATGGTTGTTCTAAATATCTCTCATTATAGATTAAATGCACTATATTTTCCAGACAAAAATACCCTTTTAGTTTATCAGCTTCTTTGCCATATATATATATATATATATATATCTTTAAAAAAATTTCCCAGTGGGTGACTCAAACGTAGTTTGCTTGTGTTTAATCTTTCTTTCCAGTGAGAGATTCGAATGCAATTTTTTTCTATATATATATATCTTTACAAAATTATTTTTCCAGTGAGAGGCTTGAACGGAATTTTTTTTTTTTCTCTGTCATCTGAAAAATCATTAAATAAAAAAGAAGAAAGAAAC